GCAGCCCCAGACACGAAAACGCGACGCAACACCAGGGGACCCGGTCCAAAGACTGGTCGGTGAAAGCCCTGGCCGGGAGACACGTGGCCAGAGGTTCAGCTGGTGAGCGGCGTACCGAACCGCGTAGGGCCACAAAAAATGGGGCGCACGGGCGTGGATCATGGAGGTGCGTGCAATCTCCATGACCAAGCCTATTTGGCGCTCAACAACCCCATTCTGCTGTGGGGACTCTGCAAGTGTCCAGGACTGACGAATGCTCGCGACAGAATTCGGCGCGAATGCCGGAGCGAAACTCACCCCCACGGTCGGAGTGAAGACAACTGACACGACGGTGATGAGTACCCTTTATAGTGAGCAACCACCGAATCAACGTAGAAGTCACGTCGGACTTCTTCGCCAAAAGGAAAACGGTGGTGTAGCGAGAGTAGTCGTCGACGACCAGCAGAAAAAAACTCCCTCACTCAGGACCAGGGCGAGAGGCGGGGCCCCAGACGTCCAAGTGGAGAGTCTCGAAGGGCTCGGTGGCCGGACGAAGGGAGGAGGAGTGAGGGGTGGCACGCATCCGACCCTTGACACAAGGGCCGCAAGGTGGTGCAGGTGAAAGCGGCAGCGACGGCAAGACTCGCGGGAGGCCTAAGACAAGACGCTGACTAGACATAGTGCGAAGGCAAGGAAAGGGCGGGTGACCAAGACGGTGGTGCCACAGAACGGTGGGGTGGGCAAGCGACCGACACAAGTAAGAAGCAACAACCTGACTAGATGCCACAACCTGACCAGACATAGCAACCTGGTGGGATGCAACAACCTGGTGGGATGCTAGGACCTAACGGGGGGCAGTGACAGGGGTCAGAGGCAGCTACTACTGCTGCTGCTGCTGCTGCGCTGCTGCTGCTGCTGCTGCTGCCTCTCCCGGGGGCCAGTGTGAAGTGTGTAGAGACCAGACCCCCGCTCCTAGCGAAAGGTGGCCAGGGGGGCGTACGTATCACTGTCCACACTGGTCGCAGACTCCCCAAAAGGCTCAAACCAAACACCAACGTGCTGACGCATGAGCGGTCGCACGCCCACCAAGTTCATAGAGAACGAGGGGACATGAAAGCTCGTCGGAGAACCCGAGGGAACAGCCGGGCACGGAAGCGTTGTAGAGTGGTGAGCAGTGACTGGTCGCGAAGTGGGATCAGCCTGTGCTGTAGAGACTGGCGCGGGAAGAGGAGTAAGAGTCGTGTGGTCATGGAAGAAGCAATGCGAAACTCCGGAGTCCAGTGTGAAAGACAGCGAAGCGTCCGTCGGAGTAGCACATGGACGAGTACCTAAGCAAGTACCTACACTAGCAACTGGCACAGGATCAACACTAGCACCTAAGCTAAAAAAACGCGAGTAAACATAGTCAGACACTAGAGTCAACAACACCATACATAGCATTTGCAGTTCCTAAGAGTTCATGTAAGGGGCAGACATGTCCCACAGTGCGCGAGAGAACAAGGGGGAGCCAGTCAGGGGCAAGGCCATCTGCGCCGTAGGCCGCGCGAAGTGTGTTAGTCAGCTAAGCAAAGCACTGACCCGGTGGGTGGCGGCGGTCACAGTGGAGACCACTTCGAGTACCTGTGTGGATGAGGTAGGGGCAGGGTAGGTCGGCGTCACCACGCGACAGCTGACGTGGTCCTGACCCCTGCCTCTGAACCTGCTGCTGCCCCTGCTGCTGCTGTGGCTGCTGCGAGAAGAGTGGCTGCCGCTGCTGCTGCTGCTGCTGCTGCCGCTGAGCCAGGTACCAGGCCGCCGCACCAGCGCCTGCAGCTAGCAGTCTCGCAGGCGCCCGACGAGCCTGAGCGTCACCTTCACCAGCTGCAGCTGGGGAGCCACTATAAGTTGCACGCGAGTAGGCTCGCTAGGGTGCTTCAGAAGAAGCGCTTCGCGAACTGTGGCAAGGCGGTCAGGGAGGCTAGTGGCGATAAAATAAATAGTAATTGCTATTGGGGGGAAATGCAGTGCAAGCTGTGCCTCTCACAGTGCAGGCAGCGCGGTAGCTAGAGTTTAGCGAACGCATGTGAGCGATCAAGTCGGCAGAACACTCGAACGAGGCGAGGTTACAAAACAGGAACGGGAGGAACAGGCGACCAAGAGAGACAGTAGTGGGAGTGGCGTAACGGGCCTTTATCTTAGTCAGGAACTCGCTAGCAGTGCGAACCTGGGTGAAGTGGGTCTCCTCAGACTAAGGGAGGAGGCTGCTGATGGCGATGCGGGCGGCGGCGTCGCGCGACTTTCAGGCTGTCTGAGCAACGCGCTGACGTGCGAAACGCTCCCTATCCGCAGTGGTGGGGTCAGTTCCTAGGAGTTCAGGGGCAGCCGGCGCAGGAAGGTCACCAGAGGCGTGTGCCCAGAGGGACTCGTCCGCCTGGCACTGACTCTCTAGCAGACGCTGCGCACGAAGGAGCCACACAGAGAACTCGAGCGGCCGACCCTCTTCATCTAAGTGCAGGACCCTAGGGGTCGCCACAGCGGAAGAGAAGAGGTGGGAGCTGCGGCTGCCAAAACGCCTAGAGGGCCTGAGTAGGTCGTGGCAGGCAGAGCATAAGGCGCAGTAGGGTGGGCGTGACAGGTAGGGCGCGACCCAACGGGAAGGGTAGGCGCGACGGGACGGGCAGGCCGCGGCGCGACGCGACGGGCGGCGCGACGGCGCGCAAGGACGGGACGGGACGACGGGACGGGACGGGACAGGACGGCGCGTCGGGCGCGGAGGGACGGGACGGGACAACGGGACGGGACGGGATGGGACGACGGGACGGGACGGGGCGACGGGACGGGACGGAGGGACGGGACGGGACTGGACGGGACGGTCGCGACGGGCGCGCGGGGACGGGACAGGACGGCGCAGCGGGCGCAGCGGGACGGGACGGGTGCTACGGGAGGGACCGGCGCAGCGGGACGGGACGGGCGCTACGGTAGGGACGGGTGCTACGGGAGGACCGGCGCTATGGGAGGGACGAGCACTACGAGCGCTACGGGCGCTTGGGGCGTTTAGGCTAGGCGCAATAGGCGCTTCGGGCGTGGTAGGCGAGGCGCAACGGGATCTACGGCACGGTGCCACAGGCACGGGAGGAACGGGATCCTAGGAGGATCCAACCTAGGTGATACTATGTCAGAAACAGAATGGTGGATGCATTACTTTGAGTTGGGGTACATACACCTTTCCTAACCCTAACAACTGTACCCCACATGAAATGCCCCACTACAAGCTACAACATTTGACACAGTGTACTGACTTCGTATCCGCGGTACATTAATTCTATTGCTGCGTTTCTGCGTGAGCTTACCCCAATTGTCTGAGTGTGGTTCAGATGCGAAAATCTCGTGAACGGACGCGATTACACCAAGGGACATGGGTAAATAGGTGAGGTTGGTCCAGGTTGGGAATTGTACTGTTGATGAGAAAAATCTTGAACGGTGTAGATTCAACCTCAAAATATCCTAGTTGGAACAACCCTAGATGGGATCGATTGATCCATTTTTCTGCAGTTTTAGGTCGCACATATCCAAGATGTTGATCTATATCTATAGACACCCGAACTTACAAAGCAGCACACCCTAACGAGAGTGCGAGTGGCAGGTTGGGAATTTGTCTCGTTGCAGAATGGAGTTTCGTTCGTTCCCTTGTTGCAGTCAACTCCAGCGAAGGTTCCATGTGAGGTGATACGGAACTTGTGTCAGCCACGTCAGTCGTTCAACTGTCTGAACACGGTTCGACTGATGCTGACGTTGACAGGGTACGTGCCACGTCGGCTAGAGCTAAACACAAAACACCGTGCTCCCCAAACCAGCCACACCTCCCGAACCGCTTCGCCATGCCGCGGCCGAGCTTGGACAAGCGTGCCTCCGCAAGCTTGGCCATGCCTTCCTCCTGCCTCTAGATTGTCAGGCTTGCCAAAATGGCACGCCGCGAGTGTACTCGTTTGTGAGTAGCATGTTATCACTGCTGAGCGATTTTCCGGAAAACGAGTTCTTGCCATCACGCGATGCGCCTCAATCTTGTAGTACGTTTCGCGATTTAACTTTAGGTTTCTCGTTACAGGTTGGCCGAAGCGGCCGGATGTAGGTGTCGACAATCAGCAGGGAGGAGATTTTGGAGCAGCCTTCGATGGCGGGATTGGGAGGAGCAGCAGCCTCTGGCGCAATTCGATCTGCGATAGCAGCGACAACCGGGGCGACGTACTCTGCGACTGGCGGCGGCACCGTGCGACGGCCGGGTAACCTTAGAATTGATCAAGGGGCCGCGGCGCGAGTGCGAGGGACGCGAACAGGTCGTGCGGTGCTTTACTGTCTCGGCGGCGACGGAAAGGGCGCGAACGTGGAGGTATGGGAGGATGGCGCAGGGAGGGAGAGAGCAACGGGCGAAAGATACCACCGTTAGCAGTGGGGGATGGGCCAACGTCAACTGCTCCCACACAGCATCATCCTCGCGTGTTGTCCGGCGCGGCCTGCCATGCTTTCGGGCCGCTGCCCGCTACACTTATTCATCTCTGCTCGCCTTGTTCCCCACACGTTACTCTCCTGTTGCGTGTCAGACCCGCAAGGATAGGTCGGCAAGTGAAGACCGCTGCAGGGACGAGGGTATGGACAGGTACACGAAACGCTCCTTCGCCTGCTGCTCTCCTGTTGCTCTCCTGCTACCCTCCTGCTCTTCCTGTCCTGCTGCCTTGCATGTGCTATTCACCCGCCGTTGCTCGCCGTCTCATTCACGCACACGCTTCACTGTCAATCCCGCCAACCTTGCCCACATTCCCATTCTTTGCCTCCTGACCGCCGCCAGCAGCAGCAGAAGCAGTAACGAGTCGGGGAGCGAGAGCGAGAGAGAGAGACAGCAGGAGGGCAGGATGGCACGGCGCACCCACATGGTCATGGATGGCGGCGACGGCAGCGATGGCAGCGATGGCAGCGATGGCAGCGACGGCAGTGCGAGTGCGAGTGTGAGCACCTGTGGGGGTGGCGCAATGAGCAGGCAGAGCAGCATGAATGAGGCGCACAGCGGCCTGCTCGCCCTCCTCTCCCCCACCACCCCCACCACCCCCACCACGCCCAGCACGCCCAGCACGCCCAGCCCCAGCCCAAGTCCGAGTAGTGTGTTCTGGGGAAGCAGCAGGGCGAGAGCGCCTGGGCTGGCGGGTGAGGGGAAGAGCAGTGGCGCGGTTGTGCAGGGCAGAGAAGGACCGCACGCAGGTGGGGGTGATGCGCCCATGGCAGCACCATCGCTGGCACGCGCTGCTGGGGCAGTGGCAGCAGGGCGTGCTGACGGGGATGGCAGTGGGGCAGGGGTGGGCGGCAAGGAGATATTTGTGGTGTCAGATGGCACGGCGTGGGCGGCAGACAGGGCGGTGGAGGCGGCAGTGGGACTGCTGGACTGCGGGCTGGCGGGCGGCCGATGCTTCGTGCACACCAGACTTTACTCGCAGGTATGAGGGAAGGGGGGACTGATGGAGGTGCTGTGAACAAGAAGTTCTCTTCCTGTCACTTCTCACCCTCCGTTTACCCGTTGCACACGCCACTGCAGGGGATAAACCTCCCCCTCTCCTCACTCCCCCCTCTCCTCTCACTCCCCCCTCTCCTCTCACTCCCCCCTCTCCTCTCACTCCCCCCTTTCCTCTCACTCCCCCCTCTCCTCTCACTCCCCCCTCTCCTCTCACTCCCCCCTCTCCTCTCACTCCACACCTCAGGTGACAGACACGGCGTCTCTCCTGGCCATCATCCACACGGCAGCAGCAAGCGGTGCACTCCTCGTGCACACACTCGCCGACCGCGCTCTGCGCCGCACCGTCACGCAGGCAGCAGCAGCGCTGCACGTGGCAGCAGTGGACGTGCTGGGCCCACTGCTGGCTGCTGTGGGGGAGCACATGGGCGTGGATGCAGGGGCGGTGGGGCAAGGCGCGGGGAGCAAGCATAAGGGGGAGCTAGGCGAGGAGTATTTCCGGCGCATAGAGGCGGTGGAGTTCACCATCCGGTGTGTCTCGCCCACCCTGCTTGCTTGCTGCTCCCCTGTGCTTCCTCCTGTGTCTCTCGCTCTCTGCCGTCTCTGCACCTGTTTTTCCACGTCTCACAGCAATCATCAGCACTCCATGTGGAAGCAAGGAGCTGCTGTTGCATGCCTTCACACTTTGCCACTCACTGCACGGGGCCTCCCTCTCTGTGTGTGCGCCTCTGTGCATGGCGAGCAGGCAGGACGATGGCGCCCTGCCTCGGAACCTGGGGCAGGCGGACATCATTCTCGTGGGGGTGTCCCGCACTGGCAAGACCCCCCTCTCCATGCACCTTGCGCACATGGGCTATAAGGTGAGGCTAGAGCGACGCCACTCCTCTCACAACCCCTGCATCACCACTGCCTCTCGCCCTGCTCTCCTTGCTGCCGCCTGTGCATGCCTAGTGCTCGCACCACCAATTCGAGCCATACAGCTGCCCTTCTGAGCCCCCCGTTGCTGCGCTGCCCCGACCATGCCCTGCTCACCCCACTGCGTGCCCACCCGCACCTGCAGGTGGCGAACGTGCCGCTGGTGCCGGGAGTGGCGCCACCAGCAGAGCTGGTGCAGGCGGACCACGTGGACCAGCGCCGCATCTTCGCCCTCACCATCGCCGCTCCCACTCTCGCCTCCATCCGCCGAGCTCGCTACCAGCGCCTGGCTGTGCTGCAGCAGCCGCCGCACAGGGGCACAGGGAGGGGGAGGTCTGGATGGGGAGGGGGGGAGATGGGGGCGACGTATGGAGAGGGCAGGGGAGGGGGAGCGAGGTACTGCAGTGCGGAGCATGTGAGGGGCGAGCTGGAGGCGGCTGATGACCTCTTTGCCCTGCACCCCCTGTGGCCCGTCCTTGGTATGCCCCCTCCCATGCTGCTTGTAGCCCGCAACACTCCTGCTCTTATCACTCGCCGCATTCTCCTCTCTGCGGATAGCTGCTGCTAGGGTTCGTTATGGCTTGCGCAGTGCTGCAAGTGAATTGTGTTCTGTTTTGGCATTGGAACTGTCATGTATGTGCGTGTGTGTATGCATGACTTGCGCTTGCTGTTGCGCTTGCTGTTGCTCTTGCTGTTGCTGGGTGCGTGTGTGCATGGGTGGGCAGACGTGACAGGGAGGCCCATTGAGGAGACAGCGGCACTCATTCTCCGCATTTACGACGAGCGCATCAACCCTCACGCGGTGCCATACGTTACACGCTGCTACTGATGCCAGCGCTCACAAATGGGTGGATGCAGTGCTGGAGGTTGTTATCTATATACCTGTAAGTCATCTCTGCAGTGTGTTGCTCTTTTGTCACTTTTTCTGGAGCTGTTGAAAGAATCCTAGCACACTTTCTGAGAAGCAATGTTTCGGATGTGCGTTGCAGGAGCAGGAGATTGCTGGAGGGTCCAACAGCAGCTCACAGCACAACATATGGTGTTCTGCAGGCTTCACAATTCAGGCTTTTTACCGTACACAAATTTCTCTTAGTATTTTGGTGTGTTTTTATGTACAGTACTAACCCTACATTTCAAGCCTTGAATATTTTCAGTCCCCTATATTTCCAGTCATCTTTCACCGTATTTACCCGGCTAATGGACCCCCCAAAATTATAGCCTCCCGGCAGGGCCTCAGATTCGTTTTGGCGTAGGCTGATTGGTCAGTCTTAGGAGTGTGTTCATGGCCGATCACTCATTGTTGCTGTAAAAAAAGCAGGAGGCGACTAAGTCGTCGTAGGGTTGCAAAGCGATTTTTAATTAGCCACATCCTCAATGTTATAAAACTTGTAGTTACTAACATGTAACTTAGTGAAACTTCATTCTATCTGGTTGAGATTTGGAAAACGTGGCAGTTGAAACCAATCTAACGACCTCCCGAATTAGCACTGACTTTCAATCAACTGAGCTACAACGGCTGTTTAGAGAATTTACAGTGAAGTTACTCGACCTAAGTTTGTGCGACAGAATTGCCACTGACTTAGGGTTTGTGTCTTCCCTTTCCACTCTTTTCCTCTCGCCAGTGAAGCTTGGACTTCAGATTCTTACGCTAGTCACGCTCCACCTAACTACCAGGTGAGAAGTCCCTAGAACTAAGTTACCGTAGATGTTATTTGCTAGACCTAAGCACGTTCTTATTAGCTATGACGACCAATAATATAGCTCGATCGATGCTGTTAGAAAGTCTAGGCAAGAATGAGTGCATTGAAAGAAGGTTGGGTACAAGTATCAAACCCTAGAGGGGTTGTACCCCATATTGGCTACCCCACTACAACCTACACAAGTATAACATATATAATTTGACACACCCCCATAGGCAAAGTGGGGGAGAGCAAGGGGTCATAAGACCAGTCAAGAAAAGCAAAGCAAGCTCAGGGTGGATCACAACGTCACCACACATTCCGAGCACAAACAAAGGCCACAAGGCCAGTTCAGATGCAAAGGTATATATGCAACAAGAACAGTACAGTGATCACTACCTAGCAAAAGCAAGCATGCAGGTATATATATATGGATGACAGTACAAGCAGAGGCTACAGCAAGTGTGGAAACGTAGGCACAAGGCCCAACAAAGTACAAAAGCGCTGATGGTCACCAGACGGAAGTGCCTTGGTGAATGTATCAGCAGTGTTGGCCTGAGTGGCCACGTGTGCAAGACAAAGCTGACCGCGCTGCTGCAACTCTCGAGCCAGGAAGTAACGGAGAGCGATGTGCTTCGTTCTGTGCTCCAGTCTGTGCTCCTCACACAAGGCAATGGCGGCCTTGTTGTCGACGTACAGCACTGGAGGAGAACGAGGCCGCTCTCCCAAGTCGGTCAGCAGGTAAGTGAGCCAGCGTAACTCCTGAGCAGCCATGGCAGTGGCGTAGATCTCAGCCTCACAACTAGAGCTGAGAACAGAAGACGAGCGAGTAGAACGCCAAGAAACAGAACCGGAGCCAAGGCTGAAAGTGTAACCCTGTGACGACTGCTGCGTAGCCTGGTCGTCAACCCAAGAAGCGTCTGAGTGTCCAGTGAGGACCACGTCTCTCCGCCCTCCAAGCACGAGCCCCATGCCCGATGTACTACACAAGTAACGCAACACCCTCTTCGCGGCATCCCAGTGCACCTTTCGGTGTCGACCAGGAGCCACGTAGCGTGCCAGAAGGCCAAGAGGGTACGCAAGGTCAGGACGAGTGCAGGTCATCAGGTACATGAGGCAGCCCACTAACTCTGGGTAAGGACCACTCGGCTCTACGGACTCGTCCGAAGGTGGAGCTGAGAGCGAGTGACCTGTAGCCAGAGGAGTGGACTGTGGCGAGGACCAGGTGAAGCCGAAGCGCTGAAGGACCAGGTCAAAGGGGGGGGTACAAGGAGAATGTCGAGGGAAATTTTGTATGCCCTAGTGCTACCCCACTAAAGCCTAGATCAATCTAGCACAGATATAACATTTGACACACCCCCATAGGCAAAGTGGGGGAGAACAAGGGGTCACAAGACCAGTCAAGAGAAGCAAAGCAAGCTCAGGGTGGATCACAACGTCACCACACACTCTGAGACAAAGCAGAGGGCCACAAGGCCAGTTCACATGCAGAGGTATATAAGCAACAAAAACAGCACAGTGATCACTACCTAGCAGATGTAAGCATGCAGGTACATATATATATGGATCACAGTACAAGCAAAGCCTACAGCAAGTGTGGAAACGTAGGCACAAGACCTAACAAGGTACAAAAGCGCTGATGATCACCAGACGGAAGTGCCTTGGTGAATATATCAGCAGTGTTGGCCCGAGTGGCCACGTGTGCAAGTCGAAGCTGACCACGCTGCTGCAACTCTCGAGCCAGGAAGTAACGGAGAGCGATGTGCTTCGTTCTGTGCTCCTCACACAAGGCAATGGCAGCCTTGTTGTCGACGTACAGAACTGGAGGAGAACGAGGCCGCTCTCCCAAGTCGGTCAGCAGGTAGGTGAGCCAGCGCAACTCCTGAGCAGCCATGGCTGTGGCGTAGATCTCAGCCTCACAACAGGAGCTGAGAACAGAAGACGAGCGAGTAGAACGTCAGGAAACTGAACCAGAGCCAAGGCTGAAAGTGTAACCCTGTGACGACCGCTGCGTAGCCTGGTCGTCAACCCAAGAAGCGTCTGAGTGCCCAGTGAGGACCACCTCTCGCCGTCCTCCAAGCACGAGCCCCATGCCCGATGTACTGCACAAGTAGCGCAGTACCCTCTTCGCAGCATCCCAGTGCACCTTTTGGTGCCGACCAGGAGCCACGTAACGGGCCAGAAGGCCAAGGGGGTACGCAAGGTCAGGACGAGTGCAAGTCATCAGGTACATGAGGCAGCCCACTAGCTCTGGGTAAGGACCACTCGGCTCTACGGACTCGTCCGAAGGTGGAGCTGAGAGCGAGTGACCTGTAGCCAGAGGAGTGGCCTGTGGAGAGGACCAGGTGAAGCCGAAGCGCTGAAGGACCTGCTGCACCATGTGTGACTGAGTCAGTGTGATGGTGCGGCGTGCTCTGTCTCGGGTGATCTGCAAGCCAAGGTAGCTGCGCAGCTCACCCAGGTCAGTACACGTGTGTCTCTTCTGCAGCTCCGACTTCACCAAGGCGAGAGCCTCAGTGTCAGCAGTGGCAAAGACCAAGTCGTCGACGTACACGAGGATGTAGAACGGCGGCAGAGAAGTGTCGGTGCGTAGAAACAGCGACGGGTCAGCAGTCGAAGGTGCAAACCCAAGAGCCGCAAGTGTAGTCCTCAGTGTGTCGTGCCACTCACGTGGTGCCTGGCGGAGACCGTAGACTGGCCGGCGGAGGCTCCACTGGGTACCAGGAGGGAACGACCCAGTGAAGCCAGGTGGACGGCGTAGCCAGATCTCCTCGTGCAGGCTGCCCTGTAGGAAGGCTGTGCTAAAGTCCAGCGAGTGAAGCTCGTAGTCACGCTGAGCGGCAACGTGCAGTAGCACCCGAAGAGTGGTCATCTTCGGGGTGGGGGAGAAGGTCTGAAAGAAGTCGACTCCCTCTCGCTGACTGAAGCCTCTAGCAACGTAACGAGCCTTGAAGACAGGCGGAGAACCTGGCGGCCGCTTCACCCTGAAAATCCACATGCCATCGACAATGTTCGCCCCGGGGGGGGGGGGAACCTCATCGACGTACGTGCCTGTGGACTTCCAGGATGCCATCTCTACGTCCATGGCTGCCTGCCACTGAGAGGAGTAGTCACCCGCGATCGCCTCAGCGTAAGAGCGCGGGGTAGGGATGTCTATAGCATCCGGGTCTCCCTCAGGGGCAAGCAGCATGGCCACAAGATGAGGCGCAGCGGCTGCAAGACACTCAAGGTCCTCGTGCCTGTCCTCAAGGACGTCCGTGCTAAGAGCACACTCACCCCCGACGGACGGAGGACAGACAGACTCAGACTCAGCAACCAGACTAGCAGCGTAGTCCAGACGACAGGCAGCAGCAAAGTCAACAAGCTCAGCGACCAAGGCAGACGCAGCAGCAGACTCAAAAGAAGGGTCAGTGACAACAGTGGCGAGCAGACGCGTGACAGTAGGGTGCGCAGCACGAACGCGGTCAGACTCAGGGTCGGGAACGTCAGGTAAAGAGGACGCAGGAGGAGACGGCAGAGGAACAGACTGTGGAACAGAGGAAGGACGACGGACGACAAGGTGCGCGGTGGGGACAGTCGGCGAACGCGGACGCGGAACACGACGAGCGGTACGACGAGAACTAACAGGCGAGACAGGACGCGACGCAGGCTCACGACGCTCAGTAAGACCGCCGGACTGCTCAGTGTAGGGAGAAGGAACAGGCAGCGGTGAGCCAGGCTGTAACGGAAGACCAGTAGAAGACGGAAGGCTAAGAACCTGGCGAAGCACAGAGTCAGTAGGTGGTAGCGACGACGGGGACGGCGGAGCGAAGAACAGTCGCGGCTGCGCAGTGCCACCAGCACCAGCAGCTCCAGTACCCCCAGCAGCTCCAGAACCTCCAGCAACTCCACCACCCCCAGTGTCAGCTCCACTAGGACCAGCTCCACCAGCAGTAGCACCCCCAGAACCGGCACCTCCAGTCCCAGGGTCTCCAGACGCAGTGTCACCAGCAGTAGCACCCTCAGGTACAGCACCACTAGCCCCGGCAGCTCGAGTACCAACGGTACGAGCACATCCGGGACCCGCGACGGCAGTACCTCCAGTAGACAAAGAACCAACACCACCAGCTGCAGAGTCCCGTGTACCAGTAGTGCGACGCTGACGACGACC